GTTTAAAATTAACATTACCCCGCCTAAATCCAGCCCCTTCAAAACTCTCTGACTATGTTTTTTTGAGATGTCCTTTCTTGAAATGTACTAGATAAGCTGGGCAGTTGAATCCAGTTTTTATTATCATCAAGGCTAAATTCTGAGCGAAAAAGAACTATTAGGTCAGCTAATTTCATAGCTATGGCTTTGTCTTTGAGGCCTAGTCAGTTCCACAAAAAGGTTACAAGTTACATTTGCAGGTTACAAAAATACAAGCTTCATATTAGACAAAAGTTCCAAATGCCTCCAAGAAGCACATATTTATTGCTTATTAATTTATTTGGTTCTGGCCATCACAGGGGGGCTATGGAATATGCTCTCACTGCTTCAAGATGCCAGGCCAGCTGTGGTGCAGCTCTGTGCCATGCCACGCACCCTGACAGCAGGGCTGGCACTAATGGGGGGTTTCAAGAGGGACCAAGCCACCCCAAAATTGCATGTAGCCATGCACACAGCCACATGTACTGCCAGCACATCTGGCTCAGCCTCCACGGAAACCCCTGGGACCACGCTATCATGGAAGCCCAGCCATCTGAGCAGGGACTGCTGGGAAATGTAGCACCTCTGCAAACCAAAAAACATGAAGGGACAGAGCTAAAACTAGCCTCTGTACTAACAGTATACTGGATGTATACAGTGGTGGTGTCACCAGCACCACTGCCAAGTGCTGGTGATACTCCTTCCACCCCCTTCACACCTCAACCCTCAGAACAAGAGTTACAGCAGCAGAAAATGGAAAGTTTGCAATTGAGGGGGTATGCATTGGCACGTTAGCAAAGCACATTAATATTTGGGGGAACTTGAATATTTTCTACTGCTACAGCTTCAGGGGGGAAGGGGGGTTGTGTTTCAGGAGTGAGGGGATTACTGGTGTGCCAGTGCCCCCTGCTATTATTGAGTACGAAGACATCAGCAGGGTGGATTTTTATGTGGCTCCCCCTTCCGTAATTTACTGTGAATTGTGCACTGAGGTTAATTTGATTTAAAGGCTCTCATCTGTAAACAATGATATATCAATTTAAAACATATCATTTCAATTTGAATAATCCTATTTAATTTAATGAGGATTAAACTGCATTACGTGTACAAGTGCTTCTCTTCTCCAGAATAAATAACCCCAGTTTTCCAATCTCTGTTCATAAATCATATTTTCTTGAACTCTTGTCATAGTTGTTGCTTTCTTCTGGATTCTTTCTAATTTTCTGGCATCTTTCTAGAAGTGCAGGGCCCAAAAATGGGTGCAGAATTCCAGGTGAGGCCTCACAGTGCTGACCAGAGTGAAATAATCCCCTCCCTTGACCTTCCAGTGACATTCTTGTTAATGTGACTCAGTGATGTATTTGCATTTTTTTTTCAAAAAGAGCACCCTGTTGACTCATAATCTTCTTCTAGTCTTCTACAAGCCTCAGGCCCTTTTCTGCAGTGCTGAAGCCTAGCCTAGACATATATTTTACTGAATTTAAAACTGAACCTTTACTGCAGGCCCTTAACATCAAGTGCGATCTTAACAAGGTAGCTGCCATATATGATTTATAATAGTTAACAGCAGATTGCTTATCAGGTCTTTTAAAAACAAGGCTGTAATTTTTTCTAGCTTTCAAAAATGGATAAGGAGTTTTAAATTATTGAAAGAATAACGTACATCGAGAACAATACTTTGTACCTATCACTTAGGACTCCAAATATATAGCTCAGATTGATATAACTTTAATGTAAGTTAAGCATTTATGTGTTTTTATTATTAGAAATTATTTTCTTTATTTCTGTGAGAATTCTTTTCCTCCCAATAAATATATGTTATATTGTTTCCAGAAATTCATAGAGACAAGCCTGAAAGAGAAGAAAAACTTGAAAAACGAGTACCAACTAAAGGTAGTGATATCTATTCATATTTCTTCATTTATGTGTATATGAGTAAGTAATATATATTATTTTATCTTAAAATTCCTTCGAGAGCCTGAACCAATTCTTGTGAAGCTGGAGGCAGCAAAAAGGCAG